AGATAAGACCAAAGAGAGGTGAGCTAAGTGATCCGAGGTTTAGTTCACCCTCTCTCTATGCTGCCAATGGGGGATTATTTAATAATAGTGGAACCCTCCCTGCAAGCACAAACCGGGGAGAGAGGTTTGCTGTCCCGCTCTCGTATCTCGGCAATAATAGATCTTCAGAGATTGGTTCCAGGTTTTGCGCGGCTTGCGACAGCCGAGGTAAAATCTATGACGCTCCATTGGGGTTGGCGTCTTTGTCAGCCGAATCCTGCACGTGATGATTGGTTGGATACGGATGGGGTTTAGCGTTAGGGATGTCAGGTGATCTCTATGGGATCGTTGCTCTCCGTTCTTTGGTCTCCAGTTGAGAAAACTACGGGCGATTGGGTTGATAATTCTCTGGTTAAGTATTACGCCAAATCAAATACGGGAAATATAGGGGGGGTAGGTAAAAAATGCGAACATTCAATCATACATGGCATTATTGGATTTGAATTATCTCTTTGCAGATATATTTATATATAAAGTAGCATCCGCTACTTCATATCTTACTCTTCTCCCCCGCTGCTCCCTGCCCCTTCGGCACCTTACGATCAGTACCAAGTGTCTCCAAATCCTTCTTCTTATGGTAATGCGGCGCCACCTCCACCAGCCACTCCGGCTGTAGCGGCATATTGCTCCGCATATACTCCTTGCTCGTCAACACCAGCTCGTAATATATCACCCACTTGGGATTCACCTCGAATAGTGTGCTGGACGGATGCAAGTACACCGTCTGTCCATTCTTGACCGTTCGATACGAATCGCCACCACGTTGTAAACGAGCTGCGTTGGGGAAGAATCCCGCAGTGATCGCCTTTTGGATGGGGACGATGTTGCTGGAGCCGGACGAGGTAATGGTCACCTCGACCCGATCGCAGAGCTTCGCGAGCTGATCGCGCACATCGCGGGCTCGCGTTAAACTTCGCTGTTGAAGGAAATTCTCACGCGCCCAGACGTAGCTGAAGTCCGAATCAACCCACTGGTTCCACACATTCAGGAGCGAGAAGTGATCGCCGCCGTCCTTGATTGTGAACCGTGCTCGGGCACTATCGGCGTGAATCTTTTTGTCCTTGGGCCGGAAAAATAGAGAGCTTGCTTCGCCCAGCATGGCGATTATTGAAAGGACCTCCTCTACGCACCCGTATTTGTCAGCAGCTAGGATGGCTTTGGCAAGCATAGGGTCGGTGGGGAACTCGGCCATCTGCCTTCCCACTTTTGTTAAATCTCCATGGTCATTTAAAGCCCCGAGTGCGTATAGCTGTTCCAGAGCGCGGATGAGCGTCTCTGCGGGCGGTGGGTCCATGAAATCAAAATCAAGAAGCTGGTCGATCCCGAGGGATTTCAACATCAAGACAACTCCGTTGAGGTTTGTTCGTTGGATTTCGGGCGTAGTATTTTCTTCCAGCTCGTTGTAGTATGCCCATTTGGTATATAGCCGGAAGCATTTGCCTGGGCCAACGCGGCCTGCTCTGCCTGCTCTTTGCCCCGCAGATGCGCGAGAACATGGGGTAACGACAAGGCTCTCCATTCCAGTACGGGGATTGAACACGTTTTCTTTCACGAAGCCTGGGTCGATCACGTACACAATTCCGTCAATAGTTAAACTAGTTTCTGCAATATTGGTAGCGAGGACCACTTTCCTTGCTCCAGGAGGGGTGGGTTCAAATATCTTGGCTTGAAGTTCAGAAGGCAAGTTCGCGTAGATGGGACATATTATCAATTCAGGTATTTTTGACCCCAGTTTTCGAGCAGTTTCTTGTATGCTCTGTTCTGCAGCTTCGATCTCTTCTTGACCTGTAAGGAATACCAAGATATCCCCCTTCCCCTGACTGATGTGGATGTGGAATACGGTGGTGATTGCCGCGGCGAGATAGTTTGCCTCTGGCTGTAATGTATAGTGTATGTCAACGGGATATCTGCGGCCTGGGATGTTGAAAATTGGCGCGTCGTCAAAGTACTTTTGAAACTTCTGCGCATCAATTGTAGCTGAAGAAATGAGTAATTTCAAGTCAGGCCTTGCCTTGGCAATGTCCTTCAACAGGCCGCAGGCAATATCTGTGGATACGGTTCGCTCGTGGGCTTCGTCGATCATCAGAACAGAGTACGCTCCAAGGTCGGGTTCTGTAAGAAGCTCTCTTAGCAGCATACCATCAGTCATATACTTGAGCACCGTTTTGTCACTAGTAGCATCTTCGAACCGGATGGCATATCCAACTTCATTCCCAACCTTAACTCCCATTTCCTCTGCCACGCGAGCAGCAACGCTCATCGCAGCAACTCTTCTTGGCTGTGTGCAACCAATCTTCATCCCCCCCTTAGTATATCCCGCTTCGTGAAGATACTGGGGAATTTGAGTAGTCTTTCCACTCCCAGTCTCCCCAACAATAACGATAATCTGATGATCAGCCACAGCTTGTATAATCTCTTCCCTGAATCGGTAGATAGGCAAGCTTTTCCTCGTCTCCTCAATAGAGGCAGCTTTCTGCTCTGCAGCATTCAGTTTCTGTTGAAAGAGTTGCTGTTCCTTCGTCAATGGCTTCCGATCACCTTCCAACTTTGAATCCATAATAAAATTAATCTTCTGTGCATCATCAAACACATACTCATAATCACCTTCATCAACAAACTCCGGCTTGGAGATTTGTGCCTTGGCTTTAGCCGTCTGCTCATTCTCCCACTCCTCATGTTCTGTAACAAATCGCTCCTGTCCATGCTCATCCCGATCAACATATCGCTTGTAAAGCGCTTCCTCCTTTCGTTTGCGATCAATCTTTCCCTTCTCCGTAATATAATCTTCCGGCATTGCATATCCATCCCGGTAATCGTCAATCCGCTGCCTTTCCTCCGCAAGCCTCAAAATCTCTCTGTTTTTCGCAAACTCCTCCTTTTCCCGACGTGTCAGATTAGGATTTTCACATAGTTCGGCAGTTTCTTCCGCAACTTGTTTACGTAGTAAAGCCAATCGCTCCTGTTCACGCTTTTTGAGGTATTCCTGTCGCGACCGAAGGCGGAGGTCAGGCATCGCTGCGGACCTCGCTGCGGCATCTTCAGCCAGCGCACGACGTCGTGCTGCCTCTGAGTCCTTCATAGACGATCGATCTTCGACGATCTTCTTCGATTTCGACTCGTCTTTTTTTGCAAGTCGCTTCGCGAACTCATCTCGTTCCTTCAAATCGCGTTGCCTAGCCCGCTCCGCCTTGGCTTCGGGATCCAGATCCGAAGAGGGAGAACGGGAACGAACGGAGCCGGAACGGGAACGGGGTCGGATTTCTCTTTGCTCTTCTTCCTGTGTTGTTCATCATATAACTCATCCTCTGGTATTTCTTCATCACCCCATCGATCGTCAAAGTTCCTGTCATCCCTTCTCCGCAGCTTCTTCGATCGATGGCGACTTTCTCGTTCCCGGTCGCCTTCCCGCTCCCCTTCCCGCTCCCGTTTGCGCCGCTCTTCTCTCTCACCACGATGCTTGCCCTTCGAATCATCGTCACGACTCCGAGTCCTACCCTCCCCATTCTCCTTCGCTTGCTTCTTCGGTTTCCCACCCCGCGGTACTCTGTAGCAGTGCCAACCCAGGGCCGGCATTATCATATCCATACTCTTCTTCCATCTCAACCAGTCTATATTTCTTTTTTAAGCAATTACCCTCCTTGTCCTTGCTGGACCTTTTGTTGTCGCTATCAGCCGCCCCGCCCGTACCAGCGCCAGGACCCGCCCGCTTCCATAGTTCAGAACAGAAAGAATGCACATCACTCCCATCGCCCTCCAGGAATGGCACCAACTTTTCCTGCAAAGAGCCAGCTGATTTCGCAGAACTGGTGGTGGCGAGGATGTAGTCAATGACCGTGGCGTCTGATGCGCCTGTTAGCCGCAGCAGGGAGTCCGAAATATATGTACGGATATCCATGGAGTTTATTACGATGTGGTTTTCGGTTTTTTGAGATCAGCAGCTATCGGATAGCTGTATAACTACTGATCAAACAGCTCGACTACGTAGGCAGATGAGAGGGCGCCAGCGGGGCGATTTTGGGAGTGAACGCGAGCTAGGATGGGAAAATAAATAGTGGATTTTGTTGGTGGACAAAAGCTAGCTGGGTTTGAATGTATTTAGCAAAATAGCATGTCTGCACCCTTCATTTAACAGAAGGCCTTTAAAAGAGTATTATTCGCGCGAGCTATTCTGTTCTTGACTTGGATGAGCGACTGGAGGATCGTTCGGGGGGGTATTGAAATATACAGACTCGGCAAAGAAAAAGAGTAAGATATGGGTGGCACAGGGAGAACTATATTCCTGCTGATCGTAATCTTAAAACCCTTCGATCTCGTGTGGTTGACAAGAATCGTGTCTTTTCATTGCCTTGCTTGTGGTCAAGCTTCTCGTCGCCTTTTGATGCTAACCATACGCCATGGTTATCCGATCTTAAAGCCAAGACTTTGATTGCCAGAATGTCACGTGATATAAAACGTTCGCCGCGGAACCTTGAAAAGAGGCTCACAACTTACCTACGATGATTTTTTTTCCATTTCAACATTTGTTAATTGCGTTTTCGCGAAGGTAAAAATAAATAAAATAAAATAAAATAAAAACAAAAATAAAAATAAATAAAAATAAAAAAATCTACCACGGACCTTATTTCTCAAAATTAAACAATTCTATCTTCGCAATTACAACAACCTCATCTAAACAATATTGTGCCAGAAATCCATATTAATACAAATAAAGGGATAAAAGTATAGCAGTAAGCATACCAAGCTTAGAGAAAAGCATATGCAGGAGGGAAACCGACAATAACAGAGAAGAGAAGAGAAAAAGAACCTTGTATCACACTGCAAAAGTAAGAAATATGAATACCGAAAATCATACCTATCTAGCCCTCTTCAGTATTCCGTAATTATAGGTTAGCAGTAACTTAGGTCGCTTCTCCAGAGCAAACAAAAAGGCAGTCGAGTTGAAAAAAAATGAAGTCAAAATGAATCAAAGGCATCATCCGCATGTTCAAAGAGGTATGTTAAATCAAAAGGGCAGTAGAAGTGGAAAAAGAAAAGAAAAAAAAAATGAGGAAAAACAAGAAAAAACTCCCAATATGACCATAAAACAGTACATGATAGCAGGATGCAGATAAACAGCAGAGAACTTCCCGCATGAAGTTCTCTGTTCTTTCCTTTTGCCTTTCCGATTCCTTTCAGACAAAAACAAAAAATAAAAGAAAGGGTTGTAAATCAGACACGAAGCAAGAAAAAGGAAAAGGAGCAAATCCAGACAAATTCCACCAGTGGTGCCCATCATTTTATCCATTTCCTTTGTTGCCTTCTTCCATTTTTTTCCGTGCTATTTCCCTGCCTATCCCAGTCCAATCTTCCTGCATCAATTGTACCCTCCCTCCTTCTGTTTCCTTCCAACTCACAAATAAAATGTCAAGCCCACCTAAAAATCAGAAGAAAAATAAAAACAGAGTAAAGTAATTTCAAGCAAATTTCAAATAACCTCAGGGAGCAGCCACACAGACTATTCCGCATGAAAAGAACAAGAGAAAGTTGATATATCCATAGTTAAAACAATAAAAAGGGAGAAGAAATCTTGATATCTCCCAAACTCCAAGCCACAAAGCCATTTCTTTCCACTCCTTTTTCTCCGACTCCAACTCCTAAAAGATGAAAAAGACGAGACTCCTAAAGATATAAGAATGTATGCTCAGAACCAGCCGTCAATTAAATATGGCAAATTTTGGATTTTCATTGTGGGGAGAGGTTTGTTGTTGAATAATTATTTTCGTTTTACGTTTTTCTTTGTTTTATTCCCCATTATCTGGTTGGGTTGATCGGTGACTTAAACATCGATCATCTCCGCATCTTCCGCCAGAACCTCATCTGCAGGACCCCAGTTCCCTTCATAGATGGTGGCTCCAGCCCTCCTTCGCCGTTCTACCCAGTGCACGCCGTATATCTGAAGAATTTGATCCGCAGTGGGCCGATCGGCTGGGTCAGGTGATATCATCCATCGAACTATGGTGTCTAGTGACTGTTCGTTCGTAGCATCGACCATAAAATCGGGAGGTTCAGCAAGCTCACCACTCCGAGAATATGGCGAGTGCTTATGACATGAATCTATATGTCCATTGCCATCGTGTAGCACGGCAAATGATGGGTCGCCAAACTGCTGATCATCAGAGATGGGGGAACATAATTGTTCGAAGGAGCGTTCTTCAGGGAGTGGATTGCCAGAGGCATCCCGGAGAACATTGCTGGTTTCAAGGCTCCACGTTAAACTGGGAACATCGCTTATATCGCCATTCCTCAACTTCTGCCACGATGCGCCGTTGTCAGGAAGTTCGACGTTGCCTGCCGTTTCGAACACAATCAATCCCAAAGCAAATATATCAGCAGGCTTGTCGTAATGTCCCATGAGGACTTCAGGGCCAATATATTCGCGATCCCCTTCCCCTTCAATGCCTGCAGCAGCTGGCCAATGACTTGCCATCCCAAAATCTGCGATCTTTAGAACACCTTCGAAGGTGATTAAAATGTTTGCCGGTTTCAAATCTAAATGAATGAAGCCAGAATCATGGGTATGTTTCAAGCCCTAGTTGTGCAAGGAGTCAGCATATAGACTTGCAGAAGAAAAATGAACATTGATGATATTTGCTTACCAACGATAGCTCAAGCAATATTTTCCAAATCCTAAAGTCATCAAGTCTGGCCTTTAGCCCAACCTGTGCAAGGAATACGTCAAGGCTTCCCTCCTCGCAAAATTCCGTCTGGATATAAAGGAAATTGTTGGCCTCCCAGCTGTCTGCGTAAGAAATGATATAATCACAGCCAGCCAACGCTTTTAAAGCAACAACTTCGTGATTCCGACGCTCGCGATCTTTTGGGCCTGTATAGGGCTGCTTGGACTTTTTCACCGCCCACACGCGCTCAGCGCGAGAGGCTGATCGGACCAGCTTCTCAGAGGCCTGTGAGAAAGATGACTGCGGGAATGGGGACCCAAACGGCGTCGTTGACTGTTTCTCGGTAACGCGGTAGACCTGAGAGAATTCGCCTGTCCCAACTAATTCAACTTTCTCAAAACGAGAAGTGAGGGTTGAGTCCACCTCTGGCGCGTTGTAGGGCCCCAAGGAAAGGCTTTGCCATTTACCCAATTGAGCAAAGTACTCTCTAGGAGCGGTTGGTGTTGCTGGCAGCGCAGACGAGTGGAGATCATGAGGGTTTGCGCGCTGGTCTCCTTGAGCTGATATTGACAATCCACTGGGATCCGGGGGAATGATATTATCTTGTGGAGTATGGGGGGAGTCTCGTCGAAATGATTTGTTGCCAAGTGGACTTGCTGTTAAGGTGGGATTAAATTTAGCATTTCTAAACTGAGGACATTTGATAGGAGACAGCATAGGAAATGACGCCCTCGGGTGTGGAGAGGGTGAATTTAGATTCTGCACAAGGCGAGATCTTGGCATAGAAGATATAACAGGAAACTGGCGCTGTTTGAAATTATGGGCCACACCAGCAGACGGGGAGTCATCCATATCGCTGTCATTCTCTTCGTTCATAGTGGGTGATGAATGTTCAACGAAAGACAACTTACAGCACGGTCCAGAGGGGCCAGATAATGAGTCAAATGAGGGTGTTTGACTATGGCTCGGGCGGTGCGGGCGGGTTTTAGAGAAATGGCTGCCATGGGGGAAGAATTTTTGCTTTGTAGGGGTAGGGGGGAGGTCGGAGTCGATAGTAGATTGGGTATCATGATTTCTAGACGGAGACTGGGACTGGGGAATTTCATCTCCGTCCGCGCTGACGAAGCTCCCACGGCGTGAGAGTGGAGGCCTGCCATAAGAACTGCCAAATATACTCATTCCTTTGGAAAACGGGCCGGGGTTAGGGGTTGCTGTGTGCTCCTGTTGGCTAAAGGGGGTCCAAGGGGTTACTGATGAATGCCGATTAGAACTCGCCTTCTCGGTTGCTCTCTGGGGCAATGGCTTATGCACACCTGGGAACATATTGAGTGACCGTTTGCACGGCGTGTCAGGCATATTTTGGCTGGTAATGGATGCGTTATGCACATCGTCTATATTCCGATTCTTTTTCGAGATGAGGCCTGTAGACATAAACGCTGCGGGGAGGGGTTTCACAAGTTTATAGTTTTCAGGCGTCGCGAACGATTCCATAGATGAAGTTGAGCTCTCCTGACGAAGCTGACTAGGCCCAATTGGTCTCGTCGAACCAGCTGGAAGTGACTTTGAGAAATTTAGAATGGGTCTCGGGCATTCGACCTTATTGATTGATTCATGAGTCGGCGAATCGTCAACAAGGCTAGAGTCAGATGATGACTGAGTAAGCGTTCTTGAGAGCGGATGGGCAGCTTGTGGATTGTTAATTGGTTGATTGTTTGTATGATGCAAGGTGAAAAGTGGCCTGGGGGAACCAACGCCCTGAGATGCGGGTCCGGAGGATCCGTCGCGAGATGCCGGAAGAAATAATTGGCTGTCCACAGACGTTCGTTGGCGATTGCGAAGAGCCATCGGGCTATTTGGACGAGGTTCAGGCTCATTCTCACCACCAACTTTGGCGCGAGAGAACAGAGATCGCTCTGACTGGCGTTGCTGGAGAGTAGATTTCCTGAGAGATGACGAACGTTTCGGTATCACCGAAAAATTGGATGATGTTTGAACAAAACTGGAGACGGATGTATCATTGTCGGGTTTATCCGCCGTTGTTGTTGATCCCATGTTATGTTCACTATCGAAGAAGTTTAACTCCTGACCACAACTGGCGCCATGCAGACTTCGTCGTTTGGCCGAAGGACTTCCCAGAGGAGTGTGCTCAAGACTCTTAATGACGTCGCTCCGCTTTAAGGGGCTGGAAGTTGACGTGAATGACCCAAACGTACCGCTCCGTCGTTTTTCGATTCTTGAAGACGGCATCTGCATCAGGGTGTTATCTGAAGTTTGGTTAGTCATGTTCTCGCCGGGGCCAAGTTCAGGGCTCCTGCTGATCGGTATAGGTGAACGCTGTAGATGGGTTTGTTCATCAACGCCTTTCTCCCCGATCGATTTGGGGAGGAGAACATTTCCGTTATCACGAGAATCGCTCAGGATGCGTTTCACGGGACTGGCTGGCGTAGTACGAGTCCTAGTAGGTTGAAAGCTCCCCGTTCGACGGATTCCGGGTCTTGTAATTCTTGCGCTGGGCGGATATGGGATCGCTAAAGGTGAAGGTGTAGAAGTGACAGGAACTAGGAAGAGATTTCCCTGAGACACGCGACGAGAGGGAGAGAGCGGGGACGAGATGTAATGTGTGTTTTTGGTGGATGGCGAGTGAGGTCGAGAGAGAAGACGGAAATCGCTGGTTTTTGAGGGGGATCTGGAGAGTGAGCGTCGTAGCTGTTTGATGGCAGAACTTGGGGTGACATGATGGTGAATACCATTTGGCGAAGGAAGATGGAGAGTACCACCGGCCTCACGGTGAGGTGAGAATGAAGCAACCATTATGACCAGCGGACACTAAATCCGCAATATGATCCGGAAAGTTTGAAGGATCGGGAAGTAAAAGGTTTGTAGGAAATGGCAAACACAGAACGGAAGATATCAATGAAAACAAACACAATATCCTGCCGGCAAGTAATGAGGGATGAGTGTTAGCAGTTTATTATGCCCGACAACGGGGATAACGTATGGTTTTAATGGAGTTATGATAAGCAACCGTTTTGATATGTGGAAAAGACCGGGTATCGCACCGGGAAATTAGCGGGAAATGTCGTCAGAAAAAGCGCGGGGTTGTGGCAAAGGGCTGTGGACAAAGTATGTGACTCGATGTCGTTGTCGTTGGGGGTTCCCGTGTAATTCACCGTTAAGAATAGGTCAAATCACGTCGCAACATCCGGCGATCAAACATGAAACAAGGGGAATATGTTTCAAAGGTTCGATCGAGATGGGAAAACCTGGGGAAGACGAGATCACAGCATTCGCGACAAATTCGCACCGGTTGGCACCTCCATTCGTGCCGTGGCTGATAAGTATTCCCTCGTTCCTCTCTTGTAACAAATATGACGGCGTCCGACAAAACTGACGTCAAAAAAATTAAAAAAATTTTTTTTTAAAAAAAAAAAGAAAAGAAAAGAAAAGAAAAGAAAGAAAAAGAACACAGAAGCTTGAAAGATGGGTATAGCAAGCGGCAAAGGACACACAGGAGGACAGGCGCGTGAAGGGACGTTGCTCAAGGCAGAAAAATGGTTGGACAGGAGGAGAGCAACCGATAAGATAGGAGGAGAGAGAGACACGCGCGAAGAGGGAATAGAAACGTTAAGAGGGGTTACGCGCGACGCTCGAGGTGGGAGTAGATAGAGAAACTTCAGATGGATTGATGGATTGACTCGAGGTCGCGGAGGTATGCGATCGATGGATGATGGTGTTTTCGAGGGCAGAGGAAAAAGAAAGCCACAGAAAGAGGCAGCAGACCGGAGCGCTACGGCGCGCGGCGTGCGGCGGGCGAAGGGGGAGTGGAGCCCTAACCACGCAGGAGTTTTGACTGGGAAGTGGGACCGGAAGAGAATGTTATAAAAGGACGGATGGAATGGACGTGACAGACACGCCAGCCGCAGCGCCTCTCTGTGTAGGTTTTCAGATGGGAGACGGTGTAGGTGCAGGATGGACCTGTAAGTTGTGAGGATGTTAGTTGTAAAAGGTGAGGAGGAGGAATTGCGCCTCACCTTGCTCCTCCTCTCTCTGCCTGCTCTGAACGCGATTGCAGCGCGTTGTTGTTGATTTCCCAGAACGGCTAGCTCGGGCTTGGCAGGCCACTTGCGGACTAGTGCACGGCTCGAACCACGGTTGCGTTGGCGTTGGCATCGCTGGGACCTGAGGGGTACGCAATGAGACAAGCCGGGGGTACAGCGCACGAGGTACCTGGCACGTATCTGCTGTGGGCCGCCCTCGCTTTTCGAACTCATCCCGAACCCCCCGTCTGTCATCTCTGCAAATGCGGGAAGGGAATTTCCTTATCACCTTATATTATCATATAGCAACACACAACAATCCATTCGTGCTCATCATTCCAACCAACATCCGATATGCAGAAATACTACCTGTCTTAGTGCTTCCCTGTATTGGTTTGGATGTGACCTTGGACTCGTCTTTTGCCAGCCAAATATACTGGAAATGCATGCGCAGGGGCAGGGAGGGAAATCTCCATTTTCTCACCCTATGATTGCCAGTCGAGCTGCCACCAACTCTCACAGAATGGTGTTTCGAGTTCATTAACCACCTAGGTGGGTAGCTATTTCAAATCATTGCTGGCTGGATGCTCAATCCTCCATTCACAACTCATCTGATGTCCCCTGATATCCCTATACCGTCAGCTACAGAAGTACCATCGCACAGGATCCAGCATCCTTTGCTAATTTCCATGTGGATGAGGAGAAAAGGACAGTCCTCTTCTGTTATCTTACCTTGTTTATTTTGTGATTGGCCTTCTTGGTCCCTACATCGCAAGTTTTGGTTGTTGTCTGCGCCGCTTTTGCTCTCCATTTTACATATCCCATGAGACCTACAACCTCCATTTCAAACGGCCCTCCAGTCTCCATACTGCATGAACTCCATGTGCTGCAAATACCCTCCGAAAGTCTGGGACGGAATCTGTAATTCTTTCACACTCGTCGAAGCCAACCCCCTCCCCCCCCCAAAACAAAAAAAAAAAAAAAAAAAAAAAAAAAAAAAAAAAAAAAAAACCTCCAATACCATTTAGTACCCTTAGTTCTCCAGTTTCCCAAATCAAGTTGGCCCTCGTCAAATACAAACGCGTTTACGAACACTGAAGCCGAAAAATTGCAGAAATAAAACCAGCAAAGTGGGGCTAGGCTTCGTTAACTAGCGCTTGACCATGCAGTTGACATTGTTACATTTCACAAAGCCCTGCATGCCACACGTGCCACGCGACCTGGATTTCCACCGTTTCCAATGTTGCTCACAGGGGCAGCTACATCCACCATGCAGCATGCGTAGGCATCATCATCGCCTTTCATGGCACAGAGTGCGGGGAGCTACCAGTGCTCATAGTTGTTCTTGTTTTCAGCTTTAAATGGAATTTTAAACAAGGATGACTTTGTTGGGGCATCTCCATTTGATATACTTATTTATTTACTTGTATTTTAATGCCTCTCTTTCCTTTCTTTCCTATTTGACAATCCATCCATTCACTCGTGTTTCTCTGGTCTTGTATGAAGGAAGGAGTTTCTATCAAAGAGAAGGCAAAAAGCCTTCCCACGGGTCCTTGCAGTCTGTTGATACTGCCTCAATATATTTTAAAGCAGGGATGGAGTCTGCATGTATGCACGTTATGCGTACATATGTGGATGTCTTTACCCGCATGCTTACAAGGTTTCGTTTAAATTTAGCTGATATTCCCTCGGTTTAATTTAAAGAAAATGGAACAAGACAAACAAAATCCTGAAATGGAGGGAAAGAAAAAGAAAAACCATGGCCCCTCTATGTCTGGCTCTATCTATTCAGATGCTTTATATACAGTCTCTATAAAACCCTGACATCAAGCTGAAAAGGAAAAATGAAACTAACAAAATGAATAAATGACATGCCCAAAAAGCAGGAATCAAAAATTTTGCTACGTCATTATTTCAAGTATCTCCCGTCGTAATTCATCAAGCACATGGCCTGCCTCAGCCCTACTGATTCGATCACTCCGGCTAAATATCCCAACATCCAGTGCATTATCTCTAATTGCAGCTTCCACGTCGATACCCGGCTGTTTGGTAACATGCGATTAGCGACAGAACCTCCCGAAAATGAAAAAAAAAAAATAAAAATAAAAAAATAAAATAAAATAAAAAATAAAAAATGAAATAAAACCGCCTTCAATGTGAAAAGAGAGTGTATCGGATTGTACTCACCATGAAAATATCCGGATATGTGCCATTCGACATTGGATGTTCGTCATGTCCCCCTCGCTTGTTGTCATGATAATTCCCATAGTTTTTATTTCCATTGGGTCTCGGGATGCCAGTGAGCCTTTGCTCTTCGTTGCCATTCTCCAAAACTGCATCAGTATCGCCACCGTCGTCGCCAAAACAATAATCACAACTATTGACATTAACCTTCCCTTCCTCTAACGTGGCGAACTTAACTGCCCTTTCTGTAAACGCCGAAGAACCGCCTCCTCCATGGCCTTCTATCATTTCTGTTGTATCGGGTAGCTTAATAAAGTTCACAAACGTATCCACTCTCACCCCAGTCCAATCTGAAATCTCGATCAATGACACACACGAATTCTCCACCCGGCCAACCTCATGCAAGTCGCGTTGTATGGTTTGGGCCATGTCGAATATTGTCCGTTTTCCATTACCCTCAATAGAAATGCGGAGGGGAACAATGTTGAGCGTCGGTGCAATTAGCTGTGGAAGGCCGTCGAGGGAATGTGAACGATTGGCTAGGTAGACACCGATGACCAGATTTCTAGGTATTTTAATGGTGTTAAGGTTTGATGGTATGATGTTGGATGCGTGGACTTTGGCATAGATGGCCAAGAACAACGCTTGCACACTGACGCCATGAACACGTCCGAGTTTCTCGAGCTTGTTAATGTCTTTCACAAAGGATTTGCAGTAGATTTGTATCATATCTACGTTCATTGGTGGGTTGAGATTCGGAGGTTGTATTCGTTGTTGCTCCATATCGATGTCGGCAGCGAGATATTTTTTCCAAAACATTTCCCGCATCTGTATTGGGGATTTGATGTGCTGATAGACTATCAGCTCTGAGATGTCAACTTTACAGGAGACTTGACGGTTTTTGTTTGGGCTGGCGCAAAAGGCCGCAAGCATATTGATCATTCGGGGCAGACTGATAGCATCGTACAGGGCATGATGGATATGGAGCATCAATATCGTTTCCCCGAGGCATTGTGAAGCATATAGTGTCACTGGTACTCGGTTGCTAGAATGGACGCCGAGATGTCTGATTTTCTGAGTTTTCAAATCTTTCTGCCATACGATGGGATTGATCACATCCTTAAGCACTACTTGTAGATAAGGTAGAGACCGCTTCCCTGTACGTATGAACTGCGTTCGTAGGATCGGAAGCTTTTCAGTTAAACTCGTCCAGGCTATCTCGAGTGCGTCCTTAGCTATCGCTGCTCCTTCGGCGCGGTAGAAAAAGCAAGGATAGAAAAGTTGCCCGTTCGAGTTGACGTGCACATTTAGCATATATACCTGTCCCGCGGTGGCCAGCATAACTTTTTCGATATTATCAGGGTTAAACCCTTGGGTCTGCAGAAGCGCTGGTGTATTTACTTCTTCCAGTGTCATCCCCAGTACTGCAGAGTGGCCTTCTAGGGGATATTCATCTTCGTTTGACCTGGCCACACGCGCCATGCGGGGAATTGTTCCGGATCTCAACATATCACTTACAGAAAGTATAATATTTTTCCTCTTCAACAGCGCAGCTATTTTGATGGCGCTGATGCTGTCCAAGCCAAGATGGAAAAGTGTTGTATCTCTAGTGATTTCCTCAATTGGGATATTTGATACTGAAGACAAGACCAGTCGAACTTCCTGTTCTAGAGGAGAGAACACCATGTCAGCTTGCTTGGTATTATTAAAATCTTTGTCTTCGCAATCATCCTGCTCTTGAAATACAGGACACTGGATGATCGACATGCCGTAATCGTTGAAGTCGATTGTTCTACTGTCAGGGTGTCTGAAGATGTTGTCAAACACAAAATTGACCCTATCGAGGAGCTTGGAGACATCTGACTCCCCCAGCACGGTATCCCTACAAGCAACACGCCACAGTATGGAATCACTAATTTCTTCCATTTCAATGCATACCGGATACTCAACATCAGCATGCCCTCCAACAGACTTGTACAACGGCTCTTGCAAGCTCATATCTCGAGCTGGTTTTTTCTGAAAGATGAATAGGGTATCAAACAAAATTTGACCACCGAAACCTAATACTTGCTTTGCAGTTCGCAAAGGGATGTGCTGATACTCAGAGATAGAAACTAATGTGTCCTGAACATATCTCAGCATGTCTGACCGGCTACCGTGCAAGACGATACGGACAGCCACTGAATTCATCAACGGAAACATTATTTGCTCCGCATTGGTGTCTTGGATATCTCTTCCCGCCAGGACCGTGCCGAAAACGACATCCAGTTTTCTCAAGTAGCCAGCGAGTACAAGAGCCCAACATGTCAATCCGAGTGCTTGAAGCGTGACACCTTGTGCCTTGCAAAATGAGATGACCCCCAGTCGCGAAATACCGAGAACCTTCTCCTTCCGATGGACCTTTGACCCATCTTTTCCCGCATCCATCTGCTTCGGGAAAGCAGATGGACGAACTCCAGTAAGAGCTCCTTTCCAGAATTGTAAGCCCAGCTCGCTGGTCGAGTTCAAAATGCGGCCTAGAACTTTGTCGCACGATTCCCTAATATATGGGTTTTGACCATAGTAATAGGTCGCGATATCCCTATGGAGAAGATCTAATGACCAACCATCGTACATAGCATGTGGCATAGAGAGGGACATTAGCCTTTTGCCCCCCGAGTTTGCCGAGCTCAGCACTTGGATCTTCAGGAGAGGTCGCTTCGCGGAACCCAATGCAATTGCTTCTTGCCGTTGCGCTTCTAACACAGTATCAAGCGGTCTTCCAGCGATATCGATCACGCTCCAGTTTATTGGAATCCCAGGAGCATGGACCAATTGAGCATAAGTAAACGGAAACCTTGGGTTAGAAACCTCAACGAAAGAAGTTCTTAAGATTGGGTTGAGGTCGACGATCTTCTGCCAAGCCCTTTTTAGTATATCGATATCCACATTATCCTTGATTTCAAGCAGATCATGATTAAAGTAGCGTTTAAAATCAGAAACGACCATTTCTGCGACCATTGCTTCTTGGAGAGGCGATGCCGGCAGGATTCTTTCGATACCAGCTAGATCCCATTCATCTTTTTCAAAATAATGGCGAAGTTCTGATTCCAGGGTTTCTAACGATGTTTGGAGTTCGTCTATTCCGTTCTGATCGCTAGATTCTGCATGATACATGATGTTTTTAATAGTTCGTCCGCGCATAATTGAAGTAACCGAAAATCTCATCCCAGCTTTTGTTAGACAGGAAGACAGTTTGATGGCGTCAATGCTGTCCAATCCAACTTCAAAGATAGAAGTGGTCTCCTGAATAGTGAGAACATCAACATTGGCAAGTGAAGCAATCTCTTCACGAAGGCGAGACGCCATAAACGTCCATTCGAAGGAAGAAAGTGAGCTATTTGAACTGTATCCAACAGTGACTGGTTCGACATTATCACCACTATCGACAGTTATGTTCTTAGCGAGATCGGATCCGCGAGCAGCAGGATATACTCTGCTTGACGGATCATCCAGGAAGTTAACCAGTACATCACGGAACTGCAAGGTGAGTTGCTGTGCAGTTTCAAAGGTAAGAATACCAGCCTGTGCGACAAGTGTTATTGCAAGAGAGCCATCATGGTTCCGTTGTACCTCGAAAGCCACTGGATAGTCTGATCTCGCCTGAGAAGCTTTTAAGGTCCACAGTGAGTCTGCCGAACCAA